TATTGCTTAACTTAAGTAATTAATAATAGGTCACCAATGATGGGAGCCTTCATGTCTTATGTTAGATTACATTTGGAGAGCATAAGCGCATTGGATTTTTGAGGCTTCAAGGATCGAATGATTATTTAAGCTATGAGAGTCTACACACTATAATGTTGTTAAACTTTTTAAAAAATTCGACTAATAATAATCATTAAAATTTAAACTTGAAAGTAAATATTTCTTAGCTTTGAACAAATAAAATCTAAATGCTAGATGAATCAAACTTATATCAAACTTAGGAAATATCCAAACCACACAACCTCTTTTGGCACACTGTAGAATGCTTGCTATGATGCTATGATAAAATAGCAATGGCCTAATTTACAGCTAAAATTGGTTATCCTAGCAAGTAGTCTACAGTGTGTGAAAGGAAACTGTGTGGTTTGGATATTTTCTAAGCTTGATATAAGTTTTGATTCATCTAATATTTAGATTTTATTTGTTCAAAGCCAAAGGATATTTACTTTCAAGTTTAAATCTTAATGTTTTAATACTTATTATTAGACAATTTTTTTAAAGTTTATTAACATTCTAGTCCTTAGACTCTCATACTTTAATTAATCTTATAAGAAAAATATACTGTTTAGATTGCAAAGATTGTAAACTTATTTCAAGTGAAAGTTTATGTACCCAATATCGCTTATTAGTTTTGGACTTTAAGATGAAGAGGCATAAAATAAAATATAAAATAAAGTATTAGTATAGGATTAGAAGAGAGCATTTAAAAAATATTAACAAAAATATTTTTAAGAGTAAAATTTTAAATCTTAAGATTTTGTCTGTGCATGAGTAAGTTAATGTTATATGAGAAAAAATAACTATTGATATTAAGAATGTTGCAAAAAATGTGCTTAAAGTATCAAAGGAAAAAGCTTCAAATTGTCAAAATAATTAACAGTGGGAACAAAATAAGCAAGAAACGGTAAAAAATAACAAAACTTATTATAAAATTTGATTTAAATGTAAAAAAATATAATAATTGGGAATGATATAAAGTTGCCCGTAAGGATTCAAAGAAAGTAATATGCGATGTAAATATTTTAGCTTTTAATGATTTATATAATATATTACATACTAAGGAGGGCAAAAAATATACATATAAATTAGTCAAATAAAGAGATATGAGTAGTAAGAATTTAGTTCAAGTGAAGTACATTAAGAATGAAGATCAAAAATTATTTTTATTAGTAGAGGTGTAACATCCCAGAATCAAATTTAAAAGAACTATTTATTTTATCTTCTTAATTAATCAACTAGAGCTTCTATAAATCATCAAAGTAATAAATCTATATCCAATGAAAATAACAAATAATTACATACCTCAAGATATTATATAATATTCATTCTCTCAAAATTAATATACAATACTTAGGAGATCAATACAATAACTAATCTATCACAAATTCCTGACAACAAAAAATAAAAATATATATAAATTAAATCAAAAGAAAATATGATGATCTCTACCAACCTCACTCCAACTGACCCTAACCCCTTTTCTGACCTAAAATCATTAAAATCCACATAATGGGCTCAAAAACCCAGTAGTAATCCAAAACTTAAAGAATCAATATGAAATGTTCATTCTAATATAATCAATAGCAGTCAATATAGTTAATGACAAAAAATTATCAATAAAACTCAAAATGATCTATTATAAAATGATAAAATCATTACAATGAATCTAAAATTTAACAATTAATAGAAAATTCAATGGCTTTATTAAATAAATAAAAAGCCGTCACTCTCTATCCATCGATGTAATTGATCATTTGTTATAGGCTACAACCATGATAATACCATAAATCGTTCTTAAAGGAAAGTCCGTCAGCCCACTGTCTTATGCAGGTTATTATATTTTAACAACCAACCCATTTTAGTCTTTCTTGTTTATGCAAATGTTACAATCAAAATGCAGTAGGAAATAATAATTTTTGTTTTAAATATAATTAGAATCATTAAAAAATAAAATGAGATTTGAGTTATAACAAATAGAAGAAATTTCTAAATAAAATTGACGGATGCAAAAGCCTAAGAAAACCTTATCTCTTCCCTCTTTCTTTTTTAACAAGGCATTATGCTAACATTCAGATTATTATAATCTATCCACCTTAAAAATATAATCTCTGACATTTCTATTAAGGATTTAAGTACAAAATCAATAAAAAAAAAATTCATAAAATTAAAACTCAAATCGAATCGAAATAAATAACAAATCAAAACTCATCAAACTCAATCAATTAAATGCAAAAATTTTAAATATATACTCCTAACTTCTACTAAACTCATAAATCAGTTCTTATATCTCTATTTACAATCTAATTCTTCCAACAACCGCTCTGATACCAATTTGTATTGCCCTATAATTATTTATTTTATCTTCTTAATTAATCAATGAAAGCTTCTATAAATCATCACAATAATAAATCTATATGCAGTGAAAATAACTAATAATTATATACCTCAAAATATTACATAATATTCATTCTCTTAAAATCAATATGCAATAGCCAAGAGATTAGTACAAACATTAATCTACCACAAACTCTCAACTATAAAAAATAAAGAAAAGTATAAAAAAAATCAAAAGAAAACTTGAAGCCTCTATTAACCTCACTCTAATTGGTTCTGATATTTTTCCTAGCCTTAAATCATTAAAATCTACATAATGATCTCAAAAGCCTAGTAGTAATTGAAAACTCATTAAAATTTTCAATGCAAGGACTAAAAAATCAATATGAAATGCTCAGTCTAATATAATCAATAACAATCAATATAATTAATGATCAAATGTTATCAACAAAACTCAAAATGATTAATAAAAAAGCTTGAAATCATTACAATGAATCTATAAATCAATAATTATTATAAAATTCAATTAATCGCTAAAACAATGGTGCAAAAATTATTCATAAATCAATAAAATAATTTATCTTATCTTTTCCTATGCATTATCTGTTTATATATTATCAATGCTTCCAACACTGTCAATGATATTAATGCATTTGTCAATGTCATCAGTACTATCAATGTATGCATGCATCAAATGTATGATTTAACTAAGTAGGACATCCAGTTTTAACGTGGTATTTTCAACAACTTTTACCTCAATTGATTCTCAATTGGTCATCAATCATATTAATTATCACTTATCTAATTAATCAATTATCATATTCAATTAATAAATTATCATTAAAGGTGGCATCATTAAATTAATAAATGGTCATCACTCTCTACCCATATGCATAATCAGCTATTTGTTACACGCTACAACTGGTATAACACCCAAATCATCTTAAAAGAAATGTTTGTTGGCCCACCCTCCTACGTAGGGTATTATGTTTTAACAGCCAACCCTTTTTATAGTGTTAACAACCGTCCTTTCTTGCTTATGCAAATGCCACAATCAAAATGCAATAGTAAATAATCATACAAGAAAATATATATAATAATAAAAATTATTAAAAACTAAAATAAGATTTAAGTTACTTAAAATAAATATAAGAAATATTTGAATAAAATTAACAAATGTAAAAGCCCCAAAAAATCTTCTCTCTTACATATTTCTTTTTTAGCAAGACACGACACTGAAATTTTGATTATTACATAAGGATATTAAACAAAGGTGGATGAGATATTTTGCTAAACATTTTAATAAAGATTGTGAGAATACGAATGACTTTAGTGCCTTAGCACCCTAAATAAAAGTAAATATTTTTAGTTTTATCAATGGATTAGTAAATTCGAAGTTAGAGAGGTTTTAAAGAAAATGAAGTGTGGAAAAGAGATTGGACCTGATGATATTCCAATAGAGGTGTGAAAATTTTTATGAGATGAAGGAATTTCTTAACTTACTAAACTTTTAAATATTATTTTTAAGACTAAAAAGATGTTATATTGAGAATGAGTGTATTGATTCCTATTTTTAAAAATAAAGATGATATACAAGATTGTGCGAATTATAGAGGAATTAAGTTAATGTCGCATACTTTAAAACTATGGGAGAGAGTTGTGGAGCATAGGTTGCGGCGTAATACTAATGTTTCTCAAAATCAATTTGGATTCATACATTTATTGAGAGGTTTGATGGAGAAGTATAAAGAGAATAAGGAGCATCTACATCTAATATTTATGATTTAGAGAAAGAATATGATAAAATTCTAAGAGAAGTGTTATGGAAAGCTATAAAGTTTCAAGAGCATTGCTATGAGGGGTTAATAATGCTAATATTCAAGTCATTAAGGATATGTATGCAAAAGTTACTAGTTGTGTCCAAACACAAAGTGATTTGACAAAGTATTTTCCTATCCAATAGAATTACATTAATGATCAACTTAAGCTCTTATCCTTTTTGTTTTAGTCATGGATGTTCTCACTAGGCATTTGTAAGAGATTGTACCATAGAGTATGCTTTTACTGATGATATTCTTCTTATTGATAAGACTAAAGAGGAAGTTGAAAGCAAACTTGAATTATGAAAGTAAACTTTAAAGTCTATGAGATCGTTGTGAGACATATAATGCTTTATGGTGTAGAATATTGCTCATTAAAAGAGAAGCATAACATTAAATTAATTGTTACGAGGATGCTCAGGTGGATTAGTGGCTTTACTCTTAGAGACAAGATATGAAATAAACATATATATATATATATAAAAGTTGGAGTAGCTTCAATGAAAAAGAAGATTAGAGATAGTTGCCTTAGATGGTTTAGTCATATAAAACGACAGCCTTCCGATGATCCGATTAGGAAAGTAGATGCATTAAATTTGATTTATGTTAATAAAGATAAAAATAAGCCTAAAAAGACTTGATTATAAAATGATATTTATTTATTAAATTTATTGAGAATTTAACTCTTAACATGACACATGGAGAAAAAGAGTTCATGTAGCCAACCCCACGTAGTGGGATGAAGGCTTGAAGTTGTTGTTGTAGCATTAAGAAAATCATCAAAAGTTAATGGGCAAAATATCTCAATAAAAACATCTGAACATAAGAGTTCATGATGAGAACTATTCATATCATACATTGCTACATCTCAGATGTTTCTCAAATGGGGTTATTTGAAGATGAATACTATTGCTACATGGCAGATGTAATTTACATACACTGCATATACCTCTACATAATACAAGGCAGAGAAAAGATACTACTATGACATAATTTCCAATGCCTCTCTTGTCTTGCCAAGGATGTTAAGAATGGTAGCAGCAATATGGGAAGGTGTCAAGCCTGCCTCGGACAATTGATCAGCAGGTGATCCATGGTCTATATATCGATCTGGAAGAACTATTGGTCTCCACTGCACTCATATAAACAAGTTGAATTCAAATTCAATTCATTATACATGTTTTAAACTGCTATAAGCCTTATAACATTTTACCTTTGTATTGCCGTCAAGAAGGCCATCAAGAGCCATGAACTGAGCAACGTGTGAACCAAAACCACCAATTGATCCTTCTTCAACTGTTATCAAAACCTTGTGGGATTTTGCGAGGCTACGAATAAGAGCCTGGTCCAGTGGTTTGCAGAATCGAGCATCTGCCACAGTTAGCTTCAAACCATGGTGTTCAATAAGACCAGCAGCAGCCACACAGCTTTGAACTGCTGTTCCATATCCAAGAAGAGCTACAGTCTCACCCTCCATTAAAATCCTTCCTTTGCCAACCTGCCATTGCAATTTCAATTAAGTTCTTAAGTGCAATATCAATTAGTTTTCCTGTACAGTTGAAGAGGCTTCAACGATTTTAGCAAAATAAAAATCAGTTTTGTGTGAAAATCTTGGGAAGGGAAATATAAGCTCATAACCGAAGAAGACCAAACAGCAAACTAGAGCTCTTTATCTAGTGTTGTTGGGATGGAAAAAATCTCTTTCTGATCAAGCATGACCTCAAGGTAATTTAGAAAAATTGAACGAGTGCCCAAGTTCAGTCAGGGCTCGGTCAGTTCAATTCAAAAAATTTCCCTATAAATTTTCCTAAATTTAGCCAAGCAACTAAGCTAAAACTTTTTTTTTTTAGTTGAGTCAATATTTTAATAAACATGCTTGAAAATTTGCCTCCGGCCAACATGTCTTTCTTTTCTACTCCTATGTTCCAATCTCTTACTCCTAAAGAAATTTTCACTCACAATATTGTTGCCATCAAGTCTGTTTTGGCTCAAATTAAGTACGCTGCATACCGAGTAGGAAAATTGGGAATTTTCTCAATAGCCCAATCAGGCCAATTTTGCAAGGGAAAAGGTAGAAAGCAAAAGCCTTAACATGAGGCCTAAATTAGTGCTTCAACGCAAGGGTTGGGCCACTTGGAGCCTGGGGCTGTAAGGCACCAGTGCATGCCCAAGCATAAGCTCAGAAATCAAGACCTTTTATGTTTACGTTTGCTTTTCGCCCAATTTTTAGACTGTTTAGATCATAAATGTCATTGTTTGACTCCAATTTCAACTACATTACATAATTCTCATGTGATGATGATGGTGCAAGATCCGTAGGGTCTTTATTAAATCAAAATCAAATCCCGAAAATTTTTTGATAAACAGAAATAAATTGGATCTCCATAAAAATGACCAGGCTTGTAGTCTATAGCATATATCCACGCTAATTGTGTTAAGGGAGAAAAAAAATTTGATGAAGTTTTGACTTGAATCATGACTTATTCGCCATTCCTAGTCCTGATGCAAACCAAGCACAAAGATACTTTGGATTTATGCTGGAAAACATCTAAAAATAAGTTACTAATTCTTCAACCATAAATTTGTTGACCACAGGACCGGCTCCCAATTGGCTAAATGACACTCCCACTGCCCCACTCACACACGATCTAACAACTACCCACTAAACCCCTCACACGGCGCTAAAAACCCCAGCAAAGTCCTTCGCCGACTCTTCTGATTCGAACTCACGCACTTAAAAGGAACTCTCACCGATGGTTCTCTCAACTCTCCCTTCCCTATCTGCCACTCAGGACCCACTCCACGCTCCACTAGACTTCGCGCGCAAGAACCATAGCCCAAGCCCTCCAGCCACACGCGATATTGACCTTAACTGATTCCAGCCTGACCTTCCTCTCTTGATTGTTCGACCATGCGTGCCTCCCGCTTGAAACCACAAACTTGCAAAAAAAAAAAAATCGCTATGCTTGCCTTGACCGGCGGCCGGCCCACGCGGCACCACCCGTGTGCCCGATTCCCTCCTCCACTCCCACTTCGACCTGAGCACAGACGCAGCCTGCTCGCTCTTCCGCGCCTGATTTCTACAGTCCACCCGATCCGCCTACCCAACCTCGACCATTCGACTCGACACCGCACGCGGCCTCCATCTCCTTCCCGTGAGTGTTGAGCGTAGTGTGTGGGGATGTTTGTATATTTTAAATATCATCATGATTATCTAAGAGATGGTGATAGTTTGATTGCCTTGAACCCACTGAAAAAGATTTTTCAGTAATTGAAAGAGTTCGAATTGTATAAAAGTGCTCTTAATAGTTTTAAAATTTATGCGGAGAGCAGTGCTTATGCAGAAGGTGTATCTTTCTCATAAAGAACACTTGTTAATTTGGATGGAAAGACGAGGCACATGAAGTGCTTGAAAAAGCTGAGATATTCATGCAAGTAAAAAACTATAGAGTAGTACATAACCTCAGCTTAGAAATTGCTGAAGTAGAGGAAGTTGGATGTAGCACTTTGTTATGCTAAACAATTGTTACTGGACAATAGCAGAAGAAAAAAGGGAACAATTAAACTTCCTAAAGATGCTACAATTCACCTATGAGTAGGAGCAGAAGCAGGGGATTGGTAGTGCTCACAATTTGTTTGTAGGCAATAATAATAGATTCATAGCAAATGATGTAACTCACTCACAAGCAAGAACACGATCTCTAGTGCCTATTAAACAAACATTCCCTACAAGCTATGTTTAATGATATGATAACTTGAAAGAGACAAAATGAATTAAACAACATATCTTATATGTATTACAATTGAAACCTAATTTATCTTTAAGCCACCATATCAACAACTCATTTGTATAAGTGGACAAAAGGAAATACCCCAATAATAGCTATGATCTATATGATAAAATATATCCCGCATGTGCTCTGACAAACATGATAAAATTGAAAACACAAATGTTTGAGAATGTTGAGCGGGGTTAAATGCTCCCTAATATTAAATTCTATTTTCAAATGAAATACATATTGCATGTGCTCTAGGGGTGCAAACGAGTCGAGTCGAGCTCGAGTCAGAGGGTGTTCGAGTCGAGCTCGACTGTCAAAATCTGAGCTCGAGCTCGAGCTTGAGCTCGAGCTCGACTCGACAGGGAAAAAAAGCTCGTCGAGTAGCTTGTCGAGTCGCGCCATCCGTCGTGTCCGTCGCTTTCTCTACTCTACGCCGTCGAGCTTTTTTCCGTCCGTTCGCATCTTCACCGGCGCAACTCTATGTCGTCGCGTCCGTCAGTACGTCACCGCTCGTCAAGCAGCAGCTATTCCGTATGTTCGCATCTTCTTGTCAACCTTTTCTCTTTCACCCAGTTAGGGATATATACTTTCACGATGCATCTAGTGACACCATAGAAAAAAAAAATTTAAAATTCATTGGATTCATAAACACATAGAACAACTGTTCAACTTATAAGTTTGCCTATAAATCTATTTCAGCAAATTATGATTTCGCATAGACATCTATTTCATGAAGAGCATCGCAAAGAATAACCTAATCGACCATTAATGGAAAGTAGAGTTCTAATAAATCCAAGAAAAAGTAATAAGAAAGGGGCAGATTCAGAAATCTCACCGCCCAAAAAGAAATCAAGACCCGGTGTCGCCGCAAAAAAGTGATTCTTCTGAAAGCAACGACGACGTTCGGAGGAATGCGAGTTTTTAAGCGCGATTCGCGAGTCGCGGGATCGGGGTGACCTAAAGAAGAGACGACGTAAAAGTTTGGTCCTCGTCTTCGCCAGCGACGCTGTTCCAGTGTCGATCTGTCCGTTCGCATCTTCTCCAGCGCCGTCGCGAGCTGTTCGAAGTTTGTCCGTTCACATCGTCTTCCCAGCGTCCGTCTCCATTGCGTTAGTGAATTATTTTTCCTGCGTACGCGAATTATTTTTCCCGCCGGCTTTTTTCCGTCTCGAGCTACTCGACGAGCTCGCGAGCCGAACGAATGGTTGTTCGAGCTCGAGCTCGATTAGCTGTCGAGCTCGAAATTGTGATCGAGCTCGACTCGCGAGCTCGATAAGCTCGACTCGTCGAGCCTATTACCGAGTCGAGCTCGAGCCAGCTTGACTCAGTTGCACCCCTAATATCATGTATGATGTGGAACAGATTACCAGTGGAGTATCACATCGTTCTCTAACAAACTATCCCTTTTCCACAGCTCTTTTTACTATTTCTGTTTAAACCGTACTGCTAGTTATGATAGGCATTTTCTACTGTTTTAGGAGAGCATATGAGAATTACTTATACCAAAAGGTAACAATATTACAGTAGAATTTTTATTATTGAATACAAAACAGTTCTTCTTGCCAAAACAAGTGTTATGTTTCGTTTCCCTTTTGCTTGCGACGTTTTTTAGGTCCTGTGGGATTGCAACCATTGCAATAGGTTGCATCAAGCATGACCTCAAGGTAATTTAGAAAAATTGAACGAGTGCCCAAGTTCAGTAAGTTCAATTCAAAAAATCTCCCAATTAAATTTTCTTAAATTTAGCCAAGCAACTAAGCTAAAACTTTTTTTTTTTTTGGTTGAGTCAATATTTTAATAAACTTGCTTGAAAATTTGCCTCCGGCCAACTTGTCACTGTTTTCTATTCCTCTGATCCAATCTCTTACTCCTGCAGAAAATTTCACTCACAATATTGTTGCCGTCTTAAGTCTGTTTTGGCTCAAATTAAGTACGCTTCATACCGAGTAGGAAAATTGGGAATTTTGTCAATAGCCCAATCAGGCCCATTTTTGCAAGGGAAAAGGTAGAAAGCAAAAGCCTTAACATGAGGCCTAAATTAGTGCTTCAACGCAAGGGTTGGGCCACTTGGAGCCTGGGGCTGTAAGCCACCAGTGCAGGCCCAAGCATAAGCTCACAAATCAAGACCTTTTATGTTTCCGTTTAACTCCAATTTCAACTACATTACATAATTCTCATGTTACGAAGATAGTGCAAGATCCTTTGGGTCTTTATTAAATCAAAATCAAATCCCAAAAAGAAATTGATAAACAGAAATCAATTGAATCTCCCATAAAAATGACCAGGCTTGTAGTCTATAGCATATATCCACGCTAATTGTTAAGGGAGTAAAACATTTTGATTAAGTTTTGACTTGAATCGTGACTTATTCGCCATTCCTAGTCCTGATGCACACCGAGCACAAAGATACTTTGGATTTATTTTGGAAAACATCCAAAAAAAAGTTACTAATTCTTCAGCCATAAATTTGTTGACCACAGAACGGGCTCCCACTTGCCTAAACGACACTCCCACTACCCCACTCACACTAGATCTTACAACTGCCCCTCACACGGCGCTAAAAACCCCAGCAAAGCCCTTGGCCGACTCTTCTGATTCGAACGCACGCACTTAAAAGGAACTCTCACCGACGGTTCTCTCAACTCTCCCTTCCCTCTCTGCCACACACGACCCACTTCTGCGCTCGACCCGACTTCGCGCGTAGTAACCAAAGCCCAAGCCCTCCAGCCACACGCGATCTCGACCTTAACCGATCCCAGCCCGACCTCCCTCTCTTGATTGTTCGACCTTGCGTGCCTCCCTCTCAGTATCCCGAAGCCCTCAGCCTTTCAATCCTATCCGATCAGGCGAATTAAAAGGCAAGCGCCCTCCCAACCTCCCTTCGCAAGGAGAGGGCGCCAAAAGACTGCCATATTTTCAAGGGAAATGAAAAGGAGTATTTTTAAATTAAATTATTAAGCGCCTTAACTTGAAGACCTATATAATCAGCATCCCAAAGCGGCCATTAAATCTTATCCGATTGGGTGGATTGAAAGGGAAAGTGCCCTCCCAACCTCCCTTTGCAGAATAGGGGCACCAAAAGACTGTCGGATTTTCAAGGGAAATGAAAAGAAGAGTATTTTGGAATTAAATTAACAGGAACCACAAGCAAATTGAAGATAAGATACTATGTCGGGACCAGTCAACATCTTGAAGCCCTCGACTATCAAAGCATATCTAGCCGGGTAGATTAAAGGCAAGTGCCTCCCCCCCACCTTCCTTTACAGGGAGGGGATGTGGGAGGCTGCCAAATTTTTAATAAAAAAAAATGGAAAAGAGCATTTTTTAAATTAAATAATATTTAATAAACAGGTACCACGAGCAGATTGAAGACTTGAAGAATTGTGTCGGGACCAACTATCCCAAAGCCCTTGGACATTCAATTCTGATATGGTCGAGTGGATTTGAAAGCCAAGTGCCTAGAGGTGTCAAAATGGGTGTTCGGGTCTAACCTGAACTTCACCCACTGTCAGCTGACTCGACTAAAGACTAACCCGGTTAGGGAAACAAGTCATGAATCCGAACCCGAACTGGTTCGGGTTCGGGTCAAACGAAATGGCCCGTCGACAACTCTAGCAGTTCGGATTCGAGTGGGTAGTGTGGACAGACGCGAGGGGTGCGATGCGTATCAATTATATGCACGAGAACGAGAAGATTTGACACCCTTTTAAGAACTGAATTATCCCCTTCCTTTGAGTGGTTCATAGTCAACAAGAACTCCAACAAATGGTGTGGTATTACAACAGCCTTGGTGCCATCCTTTTTCTCTTCAATGCTCGGAATCTCAGACAAAAGGGACCACCCCACCGGTGAGAACCCCAGTCTCGGAACCCTCCCCAACAAAACAATGATTACAGATCTCTTTGTCACTCTCGCCGTGAGTCAGAGACTGAAATCAATTGTCGTCGGCTCAGGCGAGTTGACTTAGAAGACAAGCACACCATCGACGTGACCGACAAAGAGGCTGTTGTTGATGAGGGTTAGAATGTTGTGGAGACGAAAGGGAGGGCAGAGCCGCAGAGGAATTCGATTAGGTATTCGGCGGCTTGGGCGAGCTGGTGTTTTCCTTTAGGCAGCTCGATGTGGTACTGATGGAATTTGCTGTCGGTGCCATTGCCAAGATCCCAATCCATGATGAAGTAGTTTCCAAGGCCGTCAAAGTGGTACAGTCGTAGAAGCGGTGACCGGGATCGTCGGCGACCACCATGGTAAGTGGTTATGACGGTGGAGGAGAGCAGAAGAGAAATGGTCTCTTCTCTGATGAGATTCTTTGAAATAGAAAGAGTTTGAATTGTATGAAAGTGCTCTTACTAGTTTCTAAAATTTGTGGGGAGAGCAGTGCTTATGCAGAAAGGTGTATCTTTCTCATGAAGAACACTTGTTAATTTGGATGGAAGGACGAGGCACTAGAAGTTCTTGAAAAAGTTGAGAAATTCATGCAAGTAAAAAACTATAGAGTAGTATATAACCTCAGCTCAGAAATTGCTAAAGCAGAGGAAGGATGTAGCACTTTGTTATGCCAAACAAGTGTTGAAATTGGACGCACTGGAAAATAGTAGACTGAGAAAAAAGGGAACAATTAAACTTCCTAAAGATGCTACAATTCACCTATGAGTAGGAGCAGAATAAGGGGATTGGTAGTGCTCACAATTAGTTTGTAGGCAATAATAAGAGATTCGTAGCAAATGATGTAACTCACTCACAAGCAAGAACACGATCTCTAGTGCCTATTAAACAAACATTTCCTACAAGCCATGTTTAATGATATGATAACTTGAAAGAGACAAAATGAATTAAACAACATATCTTCTATGTATTACAATTAAAACCTAATTTATCTTCAAGCCACCAGATCAGCAATTCATTTCTATAAGCGGACAAAAGGAAATGCCCTAATAATATTTCTAATCTATATGATAAAATGCATCCCGCATGTGCTCCGGCAAACATGATAAAATTGAAAAAAAAAATCTGAGAATGTTGTGCGGGGTTAAATGCTCCATAATATGAAATTCTATTTTCAACCGGAGGAGACTCTGCCTTTCAAAATGCCCATAAAACCCAAAGCAAAATACAAATATTTTAAAGTGATTCATCGCCAACCCGATGATGATCGTGCTAAAAGAAAATCTCAACCATGAGGGGGTCCTTGCAAATTTCAACATAAAACCCCAAATCATAAAGTTAATTGTTAGGGGCTCAAATTTAAATTAAAATGTTAAATGTACAACTCTTCAATATGCAAAATACCTTATTGAAATAAAATATCTAAAAACTTAAAACTAAAATTCATCCCTTTCACAATTATTTATCGGGGGTGATAAATTTGAAATTAATCTCATCTCACAAATAGCGAATGTCATATCGGGCGTATCACTAAAATTCACTCTCAAATAGTCTCTTGTCAGCGGGGATGTGGCACGTGCCCTTTGATTGAGTGATTTTACTGCAAAATGACACCACTATATTACATACATGGCCATAGCCCGTATGTTCCCTAACGGTTTCAAGTCCTTGAGTAATGAATCATAAAATATACTCGATAGGCATAAAGCCATTTTTGTCAGTTAAGATGGACTTAAATGTATCCCTTTAGACAAACATCCACCTTAGGCCTACAAGGAGTCATTAGACAAAACAACCCATGGTTGTCGACAAGGTTCATTTTGTCAAGTTTGGTCTACTACCACCTCTGACTAAGTAGACCAGGGACTATGAAGTTCGGGACGACGAAACCATGGGATATTGATCGAGCTTGTCATCATTCTCCCCATCACCTGTTTTTAAGTATATGATGATAAATTTCAAATCATGAACTCCAAAATTCAAATCCCTAAAGTTGCTCCTACTATACGTTGGGTACTCGGTGTCTATCTCATAACTAACCATAATCAAAAGTTCTCTCATTGGGATTACGCCTATAGGAAATCAGAACTCAGATTATAAAGTCCTCGCAAAATGAGGACGAAATCTATGGGTAGTGTCTTATCTAAAATCAATATGCCTTTTAAAAATTTATACGGAACTTAAACTTGTTAAAATTCTCTCCGTCAATAAAAGCAAGCGAGGGGAGACTGGGGCATGAATTTTCAAAGCCCACAAAATTCCCTTCTGATCAAGCAAAACTTCTGATGTGAAACACATGACTACACATGACTAAAGAAAATTTAGAATGAATGAACTGATGCTTATCTTATTTTAATTAACATGGGCCAAACAAATTTAAGACGTTATAGTAGCCCTTGAAAAACAATCTAGTGCATCATAATGAGTACCTAGACATATGGACCAATAAAATCAGGCCACAAGAGGACATAAATTGCCCAATCAAAGGCAAATCAGCCAGCTTGAACAAAACTAGACTAACCAACCCAAATGATCTTGCTCCAAATCCACAACAGATGTAAGATTCTCACAATTAGGCAATAAAAATCTAATCTACACCAATAACCTGGAGGCCACTGGACCAACCTCCTAGTTTCACCTTGCTTCTAGTTACAGATGAACAACATTCAATTATACCAATATGCCATTATTTATATTTGTCTAGAAAAGACATGGACTTCTCCAAGCTATTATGCATCTGATATAAAAGCATTTCATAAACCATAACAAAACACTGTTCTCAAGTAAATCTGTAAATGAGTTTATTCATTTAAAATTGTGACACAATTGACAGTATTGCATGTTTTCATTGAGTTTGTTCAAGAAATGGTGAAACATACTCAAACATGTTCTCCCCACTACCATTCCTACCATAAGAACTTTGATTTGCCTCCACCGATGCAGTTATTAAATAATATTATATGATGCGATATGTTCAAATAGCTAATCTGACACATCTCTATGAAGGTCACCACCCCAAACCAGCCCAAGTTGAGGTGAGCCGCTAGGTCAACCAAGTGCATTCACCATCCGATCAAAATAAGATCTTTAAAAAATATTTTCTCCATCATCCATTGCATATAATTATAAAAAAAATGAATATTAAGAAATATTCCTCCAGTTTTAGATTACCACAAATTTTCTGTATGGCACTCATGTAATGTGTTGAAGAAACTCCTCATAATAAGTAGTGAGAAGCATGGCACTTATGGAAGCCATCTAAAGATTTGATGACACTGATTTGGTTCCCATCAAAAACCATCTTGCTTGTAGGACCATATCAAGCTACTGGCTACATGCTACAAACTTTACTAATGCTGGCAAGAGACATCACCATTCTACTTTTCTAAAGATGGATTTCAAATAAGTTGCCTTGGGTGGCTCATCCTGATGATTTTTTTCCTCCATGAAAAGGCGTGCTCTTCTCAACTATGTGAATATATTTCAGAGCTAAAATAGAGCAAAGCTCTCATGTATTGCAGACTGCTTAAATCCATTCAAGCGTTCAATAAAATTAAGAAAATAATCATTCAATTGCACTTCGACTGGAAAAGAGATTTAGAAAAAAGGAAGTAGGTGTGGATGTCATGTTCCTCCGGTATACTCATAAGCCAAAGCTTGCATATATATAATGAAGAATAGGTGAATGATCCTACTAAACAATTACCTCAATCGGCACACCTTTGTTTCCTGGTGGCAGAGGAATGCCAATGCCATCTCCCCTTGGATACCGGAAGCAGGATGGTCGATCATTGATAGCTGCTGCTGTGGCCACCATGTGAAAGAGTTCTGCCTCATCGGAAGGAGCCATTACTATCATATTCGGCAAGCATGCCATGTAAGTTACATCAAATGATCCACAATGTGTAGGTCCATCAGCCCCGACAAGGCCTGCACGGTCTAAAGCAAACCTAACAGGTAGCTTCTGCAAGTCCACATCATGTACCACCTATAACAACACCAACAACTTCTTATTTGATCTTGTTAGAAAAAAAACCAAACTTATGTTGCTTGTCACGGAAGAATTTAATAAGAAAACACTGATATTAAGTGATTTTTATTATATATATCAAGCAACATCATACAAGAGAAAACAGTACTGCAGCTATTTTGGAATAATATTTTATTTAAAAAAAAGAGCTAAACAGAAAGCATACTATCGGTGCTGTTTAGTAGAGAATGAAAAGTCAATAAGATGAAAGCGCCATTTAAATTGGGCACGATGGAAAGTGAGAAGGCCTAACTAACACTATTATCATCAATTGGTCTCTATTGTTGCTATTATTACTACAATTGAAGAAAATGACTAGTGAACTGATTCCTCACTATAATACCAAGCTATTATTACTATTATCCATGTCTGTTGACCCATTTCCCTTTCTTAGTTGCAGTGATGGAAGTATTTGTAGATAGCGGTATGGTTGTTGTATCACTGCAGAAATCCCGTAACCATTAAACAAAGTAGAACTGACAGAGGAGCTATTGACAGGGAGAAATGTTGGAGGAGCACTTGAAAAACTGTTTACACATAGTTGGGACGCTGATGATGACCATTGGTAGAATTGATTTGTGACGAGATGAAGAGATGAAGAGGTTTCCTTACCTGATCATAAGCTCGCTGAAGGAAAGATGAGTAGATTGCGCAAAATGGCTTTAATCCCTCACATGCTAGGCCAGCAGCAAAAGTGACAGCATGCTGCTCAGCAATTCCAACATCAAAACACCTATCTGGAAAGCGGCGAAGGAAGTAGTTTAATCCTGTTCCGCCTCCCATAGCCGCATGGATTGCAACAATGTTCTTGTCCACTTCTGCTTCTGCTATAAGTGCCTCAGCAAAGTAATTGGTGTAAGATTGAGTCTTAGCACTTCCTTTGAATTGCTTCCCTGTCGCTGGATCAAATTTGGCCACACCTGCAAGCAAGAAAGAAATGGGCTGACATTGCACATTACCAATCAAAGAAATATTGACCTTCATTGGTTGACATTACCATGGTACTTGTCTGCTGCTCTCTCAGCATAAGGATACCCTCTTCCTTTCTCAGTTACAACATGAATTAAAACTGGTCCAGTTGTATTGGTACTTTTGACTTCTTTAAGAATGGTGATGAGATCATCCAAATTGTGGCCATCAACGGGGCCTATGTAGTACAGCCCTAGCTCTTCAAACAAGGATGAGTTTGACCCGCTAATCATTCCTCGAGCATACTCATCAACTTTTGCTGCCAATTCATGCATCGATCCACCAATCTGCTTTGTGACACCCTGAAAGAATTCAAGGATTGGGCTTATAATTCACTTATAAGAAAGAAGAAGTTGAGAAGCTTTTAGACCATGGAACACAAAAGTCTAGGTTTTGGTAGCATTATCACGTCAATGTTGCTGGCATTAAATCACCAACTGATCAAGTATGATTTTTAACACAAAAGGTGGATCTGAAGGTACCCCATAAGACTCATACCTAAGACCATGTTGAGTTAAGTTCAGCACAGCTGAACAATAATTCAGTGTTAACATCAAAGGTTTCTGCATCCACGAATTATGTAAATATTAGGCAGATGAGACACTTTGAACGAGATAGATTAAGAAAAGAACAACATTGAGGTGAAAGACAAGCCAAACTCCGGTAGGAAGACCTACCTTCTTCTGCATTACTTTGGACTCTTGACTATACACTATAGTGAGCACTTAGATCTAGAATCCAGCTCTCTGGAAAAGGGTCTAGGGCTCTTAAAAAATAACTTAAAAAAATCCTTCGTATAATATTGCATCGGGTATTTAGAGAAGACCAGGGGTTCTGCTAAATATCAAGGATTTGTGGTCAGCTAAAAGCTTTAGATGCCTCCAACCTAGTAAATGTTTATCTTGCTCCACTCCCTCTATTAGCTCCATATTACAAAAAAAACTAGGTAGTGTGCCTACTCATTGGCCATTATAGAGGCTCAGGGGGAAGATGGCCACTTGGTGTGTCTGGACCACAGGCGATACCCAGCCATCAAATTATATCCAACTAAGCCCTAATACTAGTTTTCATAGGGCTTTAAACTCCATCATAGTGAAATCACACCCTGTTAGGGGCTTGAGACAACTCTCTAGTTTCTGGTAACTTGATAAAGCAACCACAACTAAATTTGATGCCCACACAATGCATAAAATGTACACAATATCTTAATTATGGATATTATAAAGCGAAAATAAATCAAGAGTGTGGGAAATCCATATGACAACTTTTTTATCATACCAAGAAATAGGCAACTGGCTAATTTAGATGTCCCATATTATAAGTACATATATCACAATTACCCTTGTATACCAAAAAAATTAACTTAGCACATACAAGATTAGCGTTAGCATTTGTGTGCATTTAATCTTTAAAATGTCTAGCCACCATTGAATTGTTTCTTCCTCCCAAGACAATATTAGCACGAGTTCCCTCCAAGGATCTCTCTTCTCTAAATTTTTTATTTTCTTTCAATGATTAATCTATCCAACACTGTCGTTGTCAAGTCCCAAGTCTTCGATGAGAAAAGTGGAGGGTTGAATTAGATAGTCGATAGTCAGCATAAAACTTGTCGAATAATTATGACATAAATCCTTTAATATGTTGTGTTAATACTAGGGTGTTCCCTGAAAGCTATGTGTTGTACGGCCTGAATACAGTGAGAAGTGTGCAAGGGCCACTGCACCGACGCCCAGGTATAGTGTTAAATAAGCAAGGGTTCTCACATCACAAATGGATGTAGGCAAAGAAGCAAATCCACAAAACTAGAATTAGGATAGGAACTTGGAATATAAATTATCTTATAGACAAATTAATGAAATTAATAGATATTATGATTCATAAGAAGATAAATTTTCTATGTATTTAGGAAACTAAATGAATTAGAGAAAACGCTAAGGAGATTGATAGTTTATGGTTTGAACTATGGTATTTAGGTAAGACTCGTACTAGAAATGGTTTTGGTGTGATTATATATAAGAGTTTGAAGGATAATATTATAAAAATTAATAAAATTGATGATAGAATTATAATTTTAAAAATTATTGTTGATGCTAAGATTATTAATATTATAAGTGCTTATACTCCTTAAGCAGGTTGGATATGCATTCAAAATTAAAATTTTGGAAAAACTTAGAAGAATTAATGCAAAGAATATGTCTTGAAGAAAGAGTTTTTATTGGAGGAGATTTAAATGGATATGTTAGTAGAGAGGTAGAAGATTTTAGAAACATTCATGATAGTTATAAGTTTGGAACTACTAATGAAGGTGGTAGGATTATATTAGATTTTTCTCTAGCCTATGATTATAAAATTGCTAACACCTTATTTAAGAAAAGGGGTGAGCGTCTCATCACTTATAAGCATGGATATAATAAAACTCAGATTGATTATTTTCTTATAAGGAAAATATATTGTTTATATTGCAAAGATTATTTTATTCTGAGTGAACATTTATGCACCTAGTATCGTTTATTAGTTTTGAACTTTAAGATGAAGGGTAAAATATGAAAAATAAAATATTATCCTAGAATTTGATTGGGTATTTAAAAACAAAACAACATAAAGCCTTTGGGAGTCCCACTAAATGGGATCGGCTATATAAATCTTTTTTCTCCATTATATCCTGTTAAAAGTCAAATTCTCATTTAAATCTAATAAAGAAATATCTTTTCTAATATTTTCTAACCAAGCCTTTTTAGGTCTACCTCTACCTTTCTTAATATAAGTCAAATCTAATACCTCTACTTTCCTAACTAGATCATCAGAAGGCTGTCGTTTTATGTGACCAAACCATCTAAGGTGACTCTCTCAAATATTATCTTCCACTGGAGCTACTCCAACCTTTTCACGTATATACTCATTTCGTATCATGTCTCTAAGGGTAAATCCACTCATCCACCTAAGCATCCTCATCTCTGTAACACTTAACTTAGTATTATGCTTCTCTTTTAATGGCCAACATTCTGCACCATAAAGCATTGCAGGTCTCACCACCATATTATAGAATTTTCCCTTAAGTTTGAGGAAGACTTTTCTATCACACAACAAGCCCGATGCATTCCTCCACCCCGAGGAGAAAAAAAGGTCAATAACAAAGGGAAGACTCTCTTACTAGCAAGCGCAAGCAGCGTAGCCTATTCCTAAGCTCGGGGACTAGTCGTTGAAGTTCAGGCAGGCTTCAGGCAAAGAATTGTCTCCGGAGTGGGAATACAGAGCGGGAGATTCTATACTATATTTTCAAATCTGCAGACCTGATGCAGATCCAGAACATTCGATTAGCGCTCAGGGTCCATCCCACTATGACTATATAAGTCCCTAGCTGCATTGAGGAGTGATCACCTTATGTATGAGAGGAGAGATCAAAGCATTGAGGTTGGTCGTAGATCCGCCCTAAAAATAAAGGAGCTTAGACATCTCTTAACGAAAAAGAATATTAGTTTGTGTGGCCTTGTGGAAACTAAAGTAAGATCCATCAAGAAAGACATGATTAGCAGAAAAGGAAGGTTTTTAGGGTTGAGAGGTTCTTTAGAATTATGACCATGCATTGTTGGGCTGAATTGAAGAGACTGAGCAGTATAGTGATTAACCCAGCCTGGATTGTTATGAGAGATTTTAATTCTTTCTTCTTGATTCCATGAGGAAAAGATGGCTGGGAGTGGGAGAAGCCAGAATACTGACCTCCACCTATGCTTCTTAGATATAGATCTATTTGACCTCGCTTTTAAGGTTAATAACCTACTCACACTCCTTTCAATACACGATGTTGCTTGCCCGCTTCATCTCTCAATCTCGCTTGGTAGAAGGAAGAGATAAGGCGAGAGTTTCATTGTACTTATACAGTTCAAGTCGCTAGTTTAAGTAGGAGCAGGAATGACACAATCTCACACTCCAACAATGGAACATGATGCCTACGTCACACCTAAATGTCACGAGAAATAGAACTACTGAAAGCTTCACTCTTCTAGCTGTCGACTCTGGTTGACTACCAATGCCTAACTGCTCGGACTGAGGGATCTAATCAACCGAAAACTGCACCTATATATTCGGAAGGATCCACTGCGTAAGCCAAACTAGATCTTTTTTCGCCAAGATCTATTTAGTCAATTACCAATGATCCTTTGAAGCCAAGCTTTTTCGAAATCAAAGCTTCGGGAGCTGCTCTTTTCTGCCCGGCCCGGATTCTCATTCTCATTCTAGTAGTTAGACTAAACTCATGTCTTCAGATGCAGATGCTGCGGGCCATATCATAGAATAACGAGACGATTCAAACCGCATTGAATGTCAATGTCAGTCTTTACTGCCTTCTCCTAGAAACCTAAGAAGAAGAAAATATTGTTATTGACTACGTGGATTTAGGTTCATCTTCAAAAATGGGTCTATCTCGGCTTGAATCTTTGCATTTCAGCGAGGTAGGGACCAAGATCTCTGGAACCACTAACTAGGGAGTTCCCTATTTTCGCTAGCTCCGATGAACTGTTCGGAAGGCCATAAGTAGTTCCAACATCTTCTGAGGTCGAGTCGTCTTCTATGAATCTTCCATCTCTGGATCTCAATTACAGCCGCTCTTCAGAAGCAAGAGTCTCTGTTGAGGAAAGAAGGCCCTAATGAAGGACGAGGGCAAGTCCAAATTTTTCATTTTTGCATACGCAACTCCGGTGACTTTGGCCCGCAACTGACATCAACTCTTTCGTATAGAAAGCTTAGTGGATCAGCCGCTTCTGCATAAGCTGAATTAGAAGACCGCGGGGAGGCAGGTCCGGGTTTCTACAATAGGGAGCATAGCAGGTAGGTCTTCGGAACGCCACACTTTCTGAGCTTTCCCACTCGCTTTCTGACACCTTTACCCGAGCACTGTGACGCAGTCGGTCAAGTACAGGCTTTCCTGAATCTGAGCTCTTCTTATTCTTTCTTTCTCAATTCAATGTCGACCTGCGAAAGGAGCAATCAACATCTGAATCATGTCTGTAAACTTCACAAATCTTTGTACGGACTCAAACAAGCTCCTCGTCAATGGTTCCACAAACTCACATCACTACTTCAACAGTTCGGCATCAGGTTCAGTCGTTCCAACCCCTCACTCCTTATTTTTCATCAAAATAATATTCAACTATACGTTCTGATTTATGTCGACGATATATTGCTTACAGGCAATGACCAAACAATGATACAAACTCTTCTCCAACATCTCCAGCCTCACTTTGCTCTTAAGCAACTTGGCAATGTGTTACTCTACCTCGGCATTGAAGTCGTTAAAACAACCTCCGGCTACTTCCTTCATCAACATCATTATGATATAAAGCTCATGCAGGAATCGGGGCTTGCTAACTGCCGTCCAACTCCAACTCCGATCTCTCCTAAAAGTCTCTCCACGGCTACATATGACAAACTATTCCCTGATCCTTGCCTATACCGCAGATTAGCCAGTTCCCTCCAATACCTCTCCATCACTCATCCGGACATTGCATTCGCCACCAATCGCATCTGTCAACATATGCACGCTCCTACTGAAGGTCACTTTCAAGGTCTCAAATGATTGCTCAGATATATCAAAGGCTCTCTGAACTATGGTCTACCGATCTCCTTAAGCAATCTTCAGCTTCGGACATATGCAGATGCCGATTGGGCATCTGATAGCCTAGACCGAAAATCAACTTCAGGTTTTTGCACATTCCTTGGGAATAACCTTATCTCTTGGTCCGTCAAGAAACAGGCCACCGTGGCCAAGTCCTCAACCGAAGCGGAATATCGTTCTCTCTCCGCTGCAACCTCCGACGTTCTATGGCTGCGTCGCCTTGTCGAAGAACTTCATATTCCTCAAACAGCTCCTACGACGATCTACTGTGACAACACTTCAGCGATAGCGCTTGCCAACAATCCAATTTTTCACGCTAGAACAAAACACATCGAAATAGACTATCATTTCATCCGTCAACATATCGACTCGAAATTTATCACCATCGAGCACATTAGCTCTACCGATCAAATTGCAGACATCCTTACCAAGCCCCTCGCCACCGCTCAGTTTAAAGAGCTCCATCACAAATTGACCATTCAACAGATGAATCAATTTGAGGGGGGATATCAAGATACCTGACACGACAGCTGCTCTTAGGTTCTTTATGTAATTTAGTTTACTAAATCTCTATATATATCTCTTTTATTTGTACCAATTATTCATTAATAATACAAAGCATTTCTTTATCCTCTGGCTGTTCTCTTGTTTCTTCTTCTCAACCTTCGGTTCTTATAAGATCAATGTGATGCACGTCATTAAGCATCAATGAATTTGTAATCAATTATAAACTCTTTAAACAGCAACATTAACGTTTCAATCATAATTCATGCATATTTGAAATTAGCTTGGATGGTCTCCTGACCAAAGGACGCAAGGCTAAGCTTTAATTGGGCAGGGCATGAAATCATCTACAAATAAAATGAGTATAAATCAAGTTAAAATTATTGATTAAAAAAGCAATTACCTTAGCTACCTCCCTCAACTCTCTTAGAGGTCTGCTTGATTGCAGTTTACTGAGGGCACTGCTTAGAGCTCCTACTGGGGGTATTGGTCCGTCTAGATTAGCAGTGGGAAGAGATACCTGCTTATTGTCATTCAGTATAACAATCATGTCAGAGTCAAGATACCCAGCATTGTTCATTGCCTCATAAGCTTGCCCTGCCGTCATTGCTCCATCCCCAATCACAGCAATCACATTGTTCTTCTTGCCCATTAGATCTCTTCCTACTGCCATCCCTGGTTAACAAAATAAATTCAATGAATTGCAAATGAATTTCTAATAATATCATATTCACTCGTTATAGTTGTAGAGCGATAGCTACCAAAAATTTGTAGATGGCAGATTCTTCATATTCTGTCAATGCTCATTTTCAAGCACTCAACATCCCCCACTTCCCTTTTGTATGATACCTTACCTTTTGACTGATTTAAAGCATCAAATATTGGGAAATAGGCGAAAACACAATTCAAACACAAAGAGCAACAAGTAACACAAAAGAGAAAAGAATATCAACACGCAAAGAATTTTACACACCTTCACTCAATCAATGGCTACACTATGCTAACACCGCTGCATATTTCACCGCGGTTTGATTGTCAAAAACTTACCCTAATTCTTCTGATATAAATATATGATGGTGCATTCATTTTTATGAGGAAAAGATTTATGAAAAATGAATATATAATAACGTTCTCTTAAAAGAAAAGAAGAACAGCATCAGACTAAGTCTTTATAGCGCATATTATTCAAGGGAAAAAAAATTAGGCCTCATTGATAAGAACAACAATTCTAACACTACTTGAAATGAGATTTAGTTATTTCTCCATGATGGTGTTAGGTTTTTAAAAGTGCTGCACTATCTCCATTACTTATGGTTCCTGAAGTTAGTGAAATACTGATGCTAGCACTTCTATATATAGATATCAAGTAACTGTGGTGGAGTATGTGAATGAATACAAAAAGTAATCTTCTCTGCACTTGTTCATGCATGAACTGAAACATTATTTTCTGCTTAGTTTGGTTTGTAAGGTTTATCACTCATAAAACTTAACATCTTATACATATAGGAATGGGTTCAGAATTGCATGTTACCAAGAGCTGCTGAGATGCTGGTGGAACTATGACCAGTGCCAAAGCAATCATATTCACTCTCTGAACGTTTAGTGAATCCAGATAATCCATTGGTCTGCCTCAATGTTGGCATCTTGTCCCTCCTACCTGTCAAGATTTTGTGTGGATAGGACTGCATCCAACAATAAAATATATATAAGATCAAAGGGTGCCATGGAAACAAGGCTACTGCTTTGTAACTACATTTGTTACTATTATTATTAACTATAACTGATAGAAGGGTGGCATGGGTAAAAGTACCTGGTGACCAACATCCCACAGTATCTTGTCCATGGGAGCATTGAAGACATAATGGAGAGCCACAGTTAGCTCCACCACACCAAGGCTAGAACCGAGGTGGCCGCCTGTCTTAGATACATTGAAGATGACATCAGACCTTAGCTCATCTGACAGTTGCTTAAGCTCCTAAAATCAAAGAATAATCAGCTAAATTTCGCCTCTAAAATAACAAGAAAAAAAAACTGAACTGTTAAAAGGGATCATTGTCGGACCTTCATAGATAGATTTTTCATATGGATGGGATAATTGATTGTATCCAGAAGAGGAGTGGGTGGTCTCTGCGAGTAGTATTCTTCTTTATCTGATAGTGCTGCACAGACATATGCATTTTTCCTTTCCTGGTAGCCAGAAGAAACCAACCCACGTCTATTGAAATTTCAAAAGGAAAAAGCGATCTATCTTATCGCAGTTCTCAATAGCTTGTATGATACCCATTATTTTCATGCTAATATGAGTAAAGCAGACTAATTATTCTCAAAGATGGAGAAATGACACTTATTAGTGGGAATTTAACAATAAATGCTGCTTTGTAATGGCAACATAAATTTAAAAGATGTAAGATGGAAATAAATTACTATACAACGTTATCTGATTTAAGAGAAACACTTCAACAAAATAAAATATATAAGAAAAATGCATGTTTGAACATAGACAGAGCGAGATCTGAAGAAGAAAAAAACCCTATCTTTACCGTCGCATCTTGACGCTGGTAATTTTCTAAGTGAAACCCATGGAGCACTCTTGAAGCAGAAAGTTGAGATGGTTTATTGTGTCCCGAAACTACAATTCCAGGTAGCTGGCAAGGATAAAAGAATGCGGAGAGATTCATTGGATACTGAAGAATCAGAAAAAGAAGCAAAGAGGATTACAAAAATAGAGAGTTAAGACCAAGAAGGAGAGAAGCGGCAGGAGGTTTGCGGGATGAAAGAATAAGACTTTTAGTTTTAAAGTAGCTGATGGATCAGGAATTTATCTACGGAAATGGGAAGAAAAGTGGCCATGGTAGAGCTGTGTGGCTGAGATTGACCTGCTACTATTGAACAAGCTGACACAGTCTTTTGGCTCATTGCCTGCGCTGTCCTCTCTTGTCATGATCCCAGCCCCTTGGCCGAGCTTTGCAATCCCTCTGCTCATTGGACCACCTGATCTAATATCATATAAATTGAACACTATGTCTACATATTTATAGAAAATTTTAATTTTATACAGTTACATAATAATAATAATAATAATAATAATAATATATATTAATGTTTAATATTAAATTTTTCTTTAAATCAACGACATTTATTTTTTTTATCCTAGACTATTTATTTAAAATTATTTGCAACAACATTGATCAAGATTCTTATTTTATAGCAATATGTTTTCCGATATTTTTACTTGTTCAAACTAACTCAAAATCATCTTTGAACAATCATGTTTAAGTAAGGTTCAAATATGATTAAACTATAAATCAAAGAAAATTCGAACATAGATCTATTATTGTTGCGGGCTTGAATATGCGCGGCGATAGAGTTTTAATATACGTCCTAGCTTTTGCATGAATATCCATCACACACACAGAGAACACAAGTTTTTCGTGGAAAAACCTCTTGAAAGGAAAAAAACCATGAGGCCTAGCCCAGTTGAAAATGATTTCACTAAATTTGAGTTGGTTACAAAAGCTGACTCGCCTCCGAGGGCGATCAGGTTACAAATAGCAGCTGTTCAATAGAAAGTGGGTGCTGGTTGATGATTGGCAGAGCTCCGGGCCTTTTGATGATGATCTGGCGAAGGCGAGGCTTTTGGCGAAGGTGAGGGCCTCTAGCGAAGGTGAGGGCCTCTGCCTAAGGTGAGGGCTTGGCAAGAGGAGGCCTCATGTGGTGGTCCGACGAGGCCCGCGGCGGTGGTCCGGCCCGGCGTTGGTCCGGCGAGGGTGAGCCCATCGTGGTGGTTCCGGCGAGGCTCCCTGGCGTGTCCCGGTGAGTCCGGCGTGGTCGAGGAGGAGCTTCCTCCTTCTCTTCCTTCTCTTCTCCTCTTCTCTTCTTGCTTGGACCCCTCTTTGTGAAGAATTAGGGCTCTATTTATAGTTTTTCTGGAGTGGCATAGCTCGTAAATAGACCTGAGATCAGGGGCGAATAACGAGTGGTTGAATGGACGACCGATATTGAATCCTACGATCGTGCACAGTTCCCCAGACATTTGAAGGCTTTAGTGATGTTAGAATTTGGTGATCTTGGTTTCGTTGGATTCGTCTCGTCGAGCCGTTCGATTCGAGTATAAGCTCGTTAAAATCGGAGACCGTTTGATAACTCAAATTGTGATTCGAACCTTCCAACAGCACTTCGAGTCTTCGATTTGGGCTCGGATTGAGTCGAATTTGGTGTCGTTGGATTCGTATTTCCGAGACGCTCAGTTTGACTATAAGTTTGTTGAAATCGAAGTTGAGATGGCTTCTGAATTAATTTTAGAAGTTTACAACTCCATTCTGCATCGAGATTCGCGTCCGATCAAGATAATTTTTTGACGATGTATCAATTATGAATTGATATATGTTTAAATATTGGTTAGAATAATGCTTGAAGATTGTTCGAAGATAGTTCAATCATGATTCAATCAAAGTTCAAAGATTACTCGAATATTATTTATTTTTTTCTTAAATTTTTATATGGTGGTCCTCCCTATACAATTAGATTTGGAAGAGACAAGTTTATTTCTTTCATTAAATAACCCTAACTGCTTAAGCAAATTAGGGAAGCACATACAAAATAAGATCATCATTCTCTCTAAGGTATGTAATGAGGTGCGAGATAAGTTGCAATGAAAAAAACATCATGGACATCATAGGTAATTATATTTTAACTATTATCAAATGATATTTATTCTAATTTATTAGAAAATATATGAGTTTTATATCAACCCACCGTGAGCTTCAAAAAATTGTGCCCTGGCCGCTCATTGCAAGAGTCTTAGAAATGTTACTTGGTCAAATTTCATAAAAAATATTAAATTAAAGATAAGAAACTATCCAAAAAATTTTGCTTTTATTTTGTGATGACTTTATGATATGGTATTAAATTTTTCATGAGCGCATAGTCTTATGATTAATTACTCCTCGTGATAATGAAAGAGAATTTTTAATTAAGTCAAGTTATTATATATGCATTAAATACTAAGCATACAGTAGCCACAAATTTAGTATTAGATTTTTAAATTTATCATCCTACACTTCAACTAAATGATCAAGGGATTGACACATCAAAATCTAATGTTTCAATTATCTTGAGTTGTTATTTCATTCCTCAGCACATAATAGAAGATATAAACCCTGAACTTACACATCTCAACTACAATATAAATGATACTAGAGCTAACTAAATAATCCAAAACAATTTAAATAACATCAATGGTTATCCAATTTTCATTTCCCAAAAAATTATTTACAAAAAATACAATCCAAATTTATTTTATACATCAAAATATAATAATTCGATTATTAAAAACCTCAATGCAAAAGCTCTTGATGGGCCTTCCTTTATCAATCACAACATTGCTAGTCCCTTTTTTTTCCTTAAAATTTCATAAAATAATATGATGTGCATTCACACATGCTAGATACACATATTTTCAATGTATAAATAAAAGATTTAAATATCACTTGTAAATTAATAAAAAACAAGATTTTATTTTCAAAAAAATATAAATAGAGGGATATCTTAAGCAGTATGATCGGAAGGACAATAAATATGTTTTAAACTTGAATATGCATCAGAATTAGCTTTCCAAACTTATTACTTCAACTTGAACATTATAAACTTTACCTTATATTTTCACTTGTACTTTCATATGTTTCATAATATACTCGGTAACAGAACATCACTTATACTTTCACAAAAATATCATATTGTACTTATCAACAAAATATTCTTTGTATTTGAACTTCTTTTATTTAATAAAATACACAATGTATGATTCATGATATACATGTATCGATGCCTATTTATAACTTCACTTTCACTTATGCCTACCAAGGTCAACCCTCACTTAGTGAAGTAGACCAACTCGATTCACTTTTTAACTCTATTTCCATTTATAATTCACTTAAACCTCCCATACCTGCATAGAGCAGATGGGGCTAGAAATAACCTCTCACATATGTACATGTTAGATGAGGCCATACATAAGCATAACAAAATAGAAATTAAGGCTTGTATAATAGAACATGCGGTGCAGTTTTAACATCTCCCACATCAGAACTTACACCACATAAACATGAGTGCACATGCAGAGATTAATAGAATTAACATATATACTAATATACATGATAATGAACATGAACATGAATATATATGTATAACCCTTCAAGGGACAATGCATTTATAATTTGCCTACACCTTTAAAAATTTTCATTTGGACAATTATTTATAAGGGGCCTTTAAAATATCATTTTAAAAAATATAATGAATTATAGCCAATACTAAAAATGTCATTTTTAGCAAAAGTTATTCAGAAATTTATATAAGTAAAACCAACTAGTTAAATATCAACTTTTTACAGTATAAATGACTAGAATGGAAATTTCTACAATATAATAGAAAATATACGATGAAAATTTTGTTAAAATCATTAAAAATATAGTTTACACCATAACATTTTGAAGAAATGTCGATATTAAAATTAGAAATAGGGTATTGGGAGCCTATCTTAAGTACAACGTGTAACACCTACCAAATTTGTATATGGTTGCACCTATTTTGATCCATTAATTCGGTAAAGGTAATTTCCTGAATTTCAGTATTTATCACATCTTGCATGTTTCTATGAGTGTTCTACATGCATATGAGTGTTTGAAGCTTGTCTAAAGAGGGTCCTAAGGGCCTATGTGCATGTTTGGATAATATGAGAATTTTACCATGGGGCGCCACAGTGTAGAGTTTTGTGGCACCCTGGCTTTGAGCTCGCTATTTTTGGCCAAAATAATTTGGCAGCTGCAACACTTCAATTCTTTTCTCTTATTGGGGGAGTGCTGTGATGTGCAGGATTCAACACTGTGCTAGGCTACATTTGTTTTTATAAAAAAAAATCCATTTTTTTCTATTGAAACCTATTTTCTCCCTTAATACAAATGACTAGAGAGAGAGAGAGAAAGACGAGGAAGATTATAGTGAGAGAAAGACGAGGAAGATTATAGTGAGAGAAAGTTAGGATTTGGATGACTCCATTCTACTTTCTACTATCGAGCTCATTTTAAAAGTTATTTAGTTCGAGATAGTTTACATTCTGTCTATCTCAATTTATAAAAATGTGAGAATTTTATTGATTTAACTTATAATTTCGTTATAACTTTGCACCTGTAAAAATTTTGCATCTTAATTTTGTGTATGTCATAAAGATAGTCATTTTGGACCTTTAAGTATTTTCTTGGAAAAATTCTACCAGTTAGTTTGAAAAGTGCACTATTTTATTTAATTATAAAATAATTATAATCCTAGAAATTAATATTGTAGTATAATGAAAGCTTTAAAATAATATTTTAAATAATACCTAGTAATCTGGGGAATTTCTAAAATACTTAATTTCTACTAAGTTGTTGAAATTGTAGTCTACTAATATAGCACATTGTGAATTTTTGCAAGCTGATTTATTTATATTTAATGTACCAAATTATAAAGATATGTCTTTATATACTTGAATTATGTGATTTTGAGTTCTGATATGTGGGGGAATTAAGTTTTATTTTAGGAGTTTTAAATGCATAAGAAGTCATAAGAGCCTAAATTTTTTAATATCTAATATGTGCTAGGCATTGGGAGTCATAAAGAGATTATTTTCTTATATGTCTACACACGAAGTTATAAGTGCATAAATTTTGATATCTGATTATGATGGGAGGTATAAAAGCCTATGGAAAATCTATTCTTTTTTACTATGATATAAGAAGTGCACGTTTACTTACTTTCACTATATAATCTATTTTATTTTGGACTTCTATAATTAATATCATGCTCAGTGTAATA